CGTGTAACCGGACCGTGTAACTGCGTGTCTGCCGGTTCACACAGTGCAGCCCATGTGAACCGACCACGGCCCATCAGTTCCATTAGCGCGGGGGTGCACTGGTACAGTAACAGCTGGTAACAGGATAGTGCGCATCTGTGGCACCGCCGTCGATCAAACAATACCCGGGGTTTGACACCGCACCGGTCCCCACCGGTTATCCGCAACCCAGGTGGAGCGCGACAAGCCAGCACTTCCTTTTCTTCTGGAAATCGGTGATACATCCTTCCTTTGTTTATTTCCAGAGTTTTAGTGTGCGGCGCTACATTTCCCTGTACATTGGTCACGCCATATAAAGTGCGCTCCACGGGTATCACCGTGTACAGTGATCATCTAGTCCCTGACGATGGACAAGCTGGTGAGTTCAGACCCTCTCTTGGAGCATTACGCTTGGCCAAAAGTCAGGATGATTACAGCTGAAAAGGCAACGAATGAAGGTGAAAAGCTTTCCTGAAAAGAAAAAATGCTTAACGTCATTTGAAATTACCGTTGAATTAAAAGCATTGTTCTCAAATCCGTTTCCGGGAGTATGGGTACGTTTATCCCCTTATCCTGAATATATCCCCCCCCCCCCAAAAAAAAAAAACATACATACATACAGGCGTATCAGTGAATGACGAACCACACCGCCCCGTTTGTGTTTGTTTTAGGTTCTCTTCCTCGTCGTGGTGCTGGCCGTGGTCACGGTTACCCAGGGGTTCGTCATTGACCCCCTGTTCGGCGGCTTCGGGCTCGGAGGATTCGGATTCGGCTCACCATTGTAAGTAAACAGCTCAGCATGGCTAGCCTCGTAGAAATAACGAACAATGTTGACGGAACGAGCATTGTAATCGCTTATATACACTCCAGAAAATGTTACTGTTTTGAACATATGCTCATTAACTTGTTATCAGATGTCCAGTTAAAATATATGGTGACGCAAACCTATTCAATTTACTGTTGGCAACGGTCCTAAAAAGATTCTTCATCAAAGATCTCGCTACAGGGTAAGATATCGTCCGCCCTGGTGTTACTACAATTCATTCACAAGCCATCTCTAGACCTTGGAAGTCCGCGTGCCCTGCCCACGGCTGGCTGCCCCGAGCCGAATTTCAACGCCCGGTGTCGTTACAGCTTCGGCGGAGGACTGATTGGCGGCGCCCCTCTGCTCCATCACCACATCGGATCACCAGTCGTCCAGCCCCTCGTCATTCAACTGCCCTAGAGCCTGCAAACGGCAGGGCGGCAGAAAACCATGGTGCTCATCCGTAAATCACTTTGGTCTCATTGGCCTGTGATAACACCGACTCAAGAACAAGTCGTAGTGACGTAGACAGTAGATAATAATCCGATTTCTTCATTCCGATCTCCAGTGTTTCACTGCTAGACTACAGCTTTGTCTGATGAAAGTGGACCGGTTGTGTTTTCATGCCTAACTGTCAAATTGTTTGGCGCAGTATTAGTTCAATAAATGTATTGACACCGTATAGGTCTATGGTCGTGGTAGACTCGAACTATACATACAAGAATACCACTTTGTAAATATGTGTGAATAAAACATATTTCGCGTGTGCCACTACTTGTTTTACTTACAATTTATGGTATGGCAACTCACACTCCAACAGGTATCGTTATAGGCTATGACACGTTTCACACCGTCGCATTACCATGTTGTCAACGTATAAAGAGGATAGGACCGAAGACGAAGAAGTTGACAAAATTTGTCTCCAATGTAAATAACTTAGAAACAAATGTCACAATTGATATTTCGTTCGAGTTTTACGACAAATAATCATGGGCCTTTTCCAACAATTACCGGTATCATCATCCCAACATTAAACATTAGCATTCACATCTTTCTGTATCTATTTTACTGAAAGTATCAGCGTTAAGAGCAGAATCGATCTAAAAGTGTAGCAGAGCCAAAGGAAGACAAAATCAATGAAGCGTGGGAATTGAACGAATGTGGACACTGGACAGGTACGATGTCTATTTTCCTTTACAATCGACATTATTTTGCATCTATGCGTCCCAATTTATTACACGATATTGTAGGACAGTTACAACAAGAGCAGCAGCAGTCGCACCAACAGCAGGAGCAGCAGCGCAACAACAACAGCAAGAGCAGCCCAAAGCTCTCGGGTAGGGAGCCTACAGACCAGGCGAATTGTACTAATCGAGTACCAACTACTGAAGCAGAAAGAACCACCGTCCCATCACCGGCAGAGCCGACATGTGCGCCGTGTAGAAGTATCTCAAAATGTTCACAGCTAACTATAGAAACACTGCTGTTCAGAGCTGTAGAGACACTTCTGCGAGCTGTGCACTTGGCTTGATAAACGCAAAATGTTGACATCAATGGACATGCTGAGGGGAGAGCTTGTCGGTGCGATGCGTGTAATGGACAGTATAGTAAAAATTATGGTGTTCTTTCAGACTGATGCCCGCAATGTTAGCTTTGATTCGAATTCTGCATTTGGTAGCCATGATAGTTAAAATTTTGACATGAAAAATCAGAGTTGTGTATGAAGTGTGTTGCTCCAAACAAGGAGAAAGCAGAGGGGCTTCCTGGACCTATCCGTATATGTATGCTCGCTTTTACAGCTTTGACGGCGACCATAACCACTCACGACTATCGTAGAAGCACTACTGATCCATTACAGCAGCTTATGACAAAATAAGGATATCTATTAGAAAAGCGATAGGGGAAAGTTCCTGCCAAGAGGAGCATGGATAGGACGTCAAAATTTCCATCAAACACTGGGCGTGGGAACACGTAGGTAATGGGAACCGCCAATGAGCACCCAGCATCGCGCATTGTGCCACATGTTAGTGAGCACTTCGATAAGGAAAATATGATGCATTGATTGAGGAAAAGGTGACAGCTGTGTGAAGAGGATGTCTGCATAAAATGTGCAATGACAGGATATTGTTGGCGCTGGTCAAAGATTTCCGGTGCCTTTTTGAGAACTTGTTTGATGATTCGTTCACTTATGTCCCGGCATTGTTTACATTTTTAAGCCGTATTGATACGGTCTAGATAGAAAGTTACCGTTACAGATTTTGCTAGCATGATGCTCATCAAACTTAAGAACAATTTCAAATGAAATTAAATAGTTAAGGCAAATTAAATTCACGTAGCAAAGTGTGCCCTTGCCATCATTATTCTGCTGAAACGCTTATAAAGGCATAAATGATAATCAATTGTAAAAATAGCATGAAACGTGTTAAACGATCAGTAGGGCAGAGATGGAGGGAAGTGAGATAGGGAGGGAGAGGAGGGAGAGAGAAAACAAAGAGACGACTCATCCCTACTATGTATTCAGTCACTACTATATAAACTATTCACAAACCAACTGTGTACTATCTGCATGAGCTTTTTAATCCAGCCTACAACAGTTCGATTCGAGACACTAATGCTTTTGAAATACTCCCGCCTCTGCCGCCTGAGCGTTTCATATCGCTGCCGCTAGATGACACTACCATCGAGCGCCTAGTTACATGCTGTGCCGCAAGGCACATCTCTGAGATGGCGACACCGCGCCAGAGAGGCGGCTGGCTCAGCCATTCCCGCACCGCCACCACCGAGTGAAAACAAGGTTGCGCGTTTGATTTAATTAGTTTATCATAGCAGTTTTCATAAATGGGTTATGCAGACGCTTCGTGACAATCCTTCTACATCAAGCCTAGCAAAAACCAGTATGTTGTCAGTCGTCTTCAATTTTACATTGCATAATTCTGGACTGCTGAATAAAAATTACCAAGAACAAAACAGACATTCCTAAATTAACTTGAATCTCTCCAAATTACAAAAAAAAAAACATAAGTAATGCTTAAATCATGGGAACACGGCTAAACCATGAATACCTATCGCAGGCATGAAGGTGAATAGCAAATAGTAAAATGCCTCAAGCAAAGCACGGTTACCGATTTATCTAAGGCCGCCGTTCACTGGTTGAGCACGCGCTGAATTTAACATTGGAGTCTATGGGCTGCGCGCCGACTGTGGTTCAGCGCCGAATGCGCGATGAAGCGCAGTCAGCTGGTTATTCGGCGGCTGTTGGGCGCCAAATCACGCGCTGACGACTCAACATTACTTTACTACTCCTGACGCCTTTAAACTTTCAGCTTTTCAGCGCGCACCACGCATTGGACGATTACCTGCAAAATGCGCGTCTTAACGGCCATCTATAGCCGGCCAGGCGCGCAGAGAACGGCCACCTTGAGCCGATAAAATGTGTTGGCTATCAGGCAACGCTATTTTATGTGAAAGTTTCAACTTAAATGTTTTTGAATCAAATAGTAGCCTCAGTAATCATTTCGTATTTTCACAAGTGGGCGACTGGGCTGCAACTGTAGCAGTAATTGTAATCAGCTGATCAGGTGAAAAGCCCCTGTCGATTGAGACAAAAAAAAAGTGCCGACCTCAGCTCTCTGAATTTTCCCTCGCTTAGTATGTGCATTAGGCATCGATGATAAATTTTTGGTGACAGGGAAGCTGATATCGGCAAGGAAAACAATGTGCTTCGTCGAAGGAGTTATGTTTGAACGGTCAATGCTGCATAAACTTTCCATAGTGTTGTTCACAAAAGTCTATGTAAGGTGTTGTTCTGGAAAGCAAGGACATACGACAGAAATAATTACGTCTGGAATATGCAATGGCGAGGTAAAAATGAAAGCAAGTAAGGAAACAAGAATATGCATATTAATTGAACTAACAATCAATCATTCCCAAAAACCTGGCTGAACAGCAAACATTTGGACAGACAGCAGAATTCCATAAATAATGTTGTTGATAATAAAATACTGCGCTGCGCTTATTTTGCTTTTGAAATATAGGAGTGAACTTCATAGTGCCAGGCTGTGCTCATTTATTATCCGTGTGTTCAATGCCGTCGAAATTGCCATGCGTCCTTCTCGACCTCGCTTGGAATCTCGTGCAGCCACATTCTATTCTCGTTTCACAATACAACCGCTATGTTGTAGGAGTATATTAACGGACAATCCAGTGCATACAATCACCACGACAACAAGCCAGCACTTTTTCACATGGGTGCAAAAATGATGTGAAGCCAAACAGGTGTACAATGATCACAAACATTCTAAAATCACCATACTATTGACACGCACAATTTTGTTCAAATATCACGCGCTGAGCGGGCCGGAATCAGACGTGAATACGTGCACCTGTGGCGGTTCCGGGGGGTGCGGGTGCGGTTCGGGCGGGTGCGGCTCGGCCGGGCCGTGGTGCACGTGCACCTCCACCTTGGGCTCTGGCTCCGGCTCCTCCTCCTCGGGCGGCTGGATGATGATGGGCTGTACGATCGGCTGCACCGTGTGGTGGTGGAATGTCGACGGGAACAGACTGGGAGAAGAGAGATCAGAGATAGGTCAGAGAGAGGTCACAGAGAGGTCAGAGGTCAGATACAAAACACAGTTATTTAGAGCATAACAGTATCATAAAACAATCATTAACAAACCTTAAAACTTAACACCAAAGGCGGCCTATCAGACTATAGGAAAAAAACACTAGCGACACAAGACCTCTTGATTTTAACACTAACACAGCTAACAATGATGTAAGAAGCACAAAACCTCCCAATCCCGCCTGCCGAGAAGACTCAGCTGTGGGGAATCCGGTTCTTACCCGCCGTATCCGAAGCTGCCCAGCCCGAACCCTCCGAGCCCTCCGAGCCCTCCGAAGCCACCGCCGTAGCCGAAGGGGTCGATGACGAACCCCTCAGTGACCGCCACCAGGGCCAGTGTCAGCAGGACCTGGAAACACACACACGTGCGGCAGCTTAGAATGTTGTCTGATTTCATATCATCATGTTATCTAAGATGTGTGCTAGCTCCATTGCAAAAAAAAAAATATCATTTTGATGTTCAAGTTCCTTTTTGAAAAAAACAAGCATGGCGGAAGCAGCAAAATGGCATATTTTCCCTTCATGTACATTGTCCAATGTTTAAATCGAAAACTGCAGTTGAAAAATAAGACTTTTGTGACAGCTCACAAATGATGCACAGTTGTATTAATTAAAGCCACTTTTCCATTACCCAAGTGACATTTTTTAGTGAAAAAAAAATTGGAGAGCTATCAATTACATGGCGTTATCATCAACCTCATAACAAATATTGTGTGCCCTAGCATTGAAAGTTGTTAGTATGCCAGAGTGAAGCCAATAAACAGGCAAAATAATGTGCTTATGACAACAACAATCAATTAGTGGGACAATGTCATGAAAATCATCAATTTGACTATTGTTTGGACTGCCTAATCATCGATTGAACAATAATCTGGCAAATACTAAGACAACCAAACTGCAAAACCAAATACACGTCTGGGCACAACAAAGCTACAAAAGGAGCCTGAAAAATAAGATCACAAAAAAATATTTTGCAACATCACTTTACGCAAACGTATTTATACATAGTGAAATGTGAAATTAATTCACCGAAAATAGCATGTTAACAAAAGAGTTGCCAATTAATTAAAACTTAATGTTGTTTTCACACCATCACTTTAATGTCCAATTATCAGCGCGCTGACCGGCCGGGCGCACTTACCAGCTGCTTCATGGTGAGAGACTGGATCGCCACTGCACATTCCTCCGTCCGCGCGCCACACTTTATATAGCATGACTGATGCACGGCAAATGCGCGCTCCAGGATGAAATAACTGCAAACTAACGGAGGACAGAGGGGCGGCCATTTCCTAATGCGGCGCCGCCGGGCCATAGTGCACCGGCGCGGCGCTAGGACCTGTGGCGACCTTGCCTCATCACGTGACCCGGAATAGACGCGACTGGCACCGACGGGCGGGGGCGGTCCCATGGTAGAGCGACTCCCTGGGCCCTAGGGAAAATGCCAGTGTTGAATGGCGGCGCCTGGTAGGGTAGTTCAAGTAGAGCAGTCCGAATTATTTGATCGACTTTGTCGTTAGACGATGATGATACTGTTAAAGGCTAATTTGCAAAGCGGTGTGGGCTCCAATTTATACAACAATGAACAAAAAAAAAAACAGCACATCACCTAATGATGAGTTAAATTGAATTGCAATGAGTTACGCTCATACATTCAGCATATTCAGGTGTATTTCAGTGGCAAAACAGCTTCAGTTAATTCTTGGGATCCACGCGCTTCACATTGTTTCAGAAATGTCAGCCACTCGCTTGAGTGAGTGGACGGCAACAGGTAAAGATGCCGTCGCGGTGCCTTCCAGGAGACGGGGCCAGAGCTGCTGGAAATAGCATGTTAGCATCACCTGCCAACAAGTGTTGTTTACCGGACAAACGGAAATTGCACGTGATGTTTACACTATCGGCAGCGGTGCATGCGAATCCGCTGTAACAGCGTTCCTTGATACGTGTTCTGATAACTCCAAAACAAGGATGATTGAGAATATGTATTGTGGAAGAAAGACGCTGTGGTGCAGCATTGTGAAAGAAAGACGCTGCGGTGCATGCAATTACAAGCACTGTATGACGGTAGAACACGTGTGCCTATCTGCATCAGTTTCGCGGGATACACCACCACCTGGTGAAACCAATGAACCAGACTTCATATGGTCCCATATATCCAGCAACAAGCACAGATACCAGTAGGTACTTCAAGTTGGTCAAATTTAGATAAAAAGGTTATGAAGGAAGAACGGGGAGCCCCCTCCAGATCAACACTATGTACTTACATACTGCACGTCAAAAATTGGTTAAATACTAAAAAAAATATATAACTACTAAAGTACTAAACATCCTCAGCCAAATGTAAGTAGAAAGTACACATTTCACATCCTCGCTCATACAGCCCGATAGCCGTCAACAGTACCGCAAATCATCATCTTGATCGAGCTAGAAAAATATTAAATATATCTAAAAAGCTCTACAAACACAACAAGTGCTTTAATATCTTCAAAACTGGATATTTTTGGCATATTCTTCGGTGGTGACTGAAAAAGCACGAAAGTTTTATATTTGCAGTGTTTTTTTTATACAGTTTAACCCGCGAATGACTGGGGGGGGGGGGGCTCTACAGAGCCCATCTCCGTTTTTCAGCAATATTTTCTAAACCGCTTGACGGATCAACACGAAACTTGCGGTACCCTCAGAGGCATCAATGTGACACCTTGTGTTAAAATTTCAACTTTCTAGCTACCATAGTTTGACCGGAAATGACGTCAGAGTGACGTCATGTCGGCCGATTTTCATGCAAAACACTGAATTACGGCAAACGCTCTCAAGAGCTCAGTTTTAAAGCTAGATCCATTTTCTTTGCATGAGTGGACTACAAATACACGTAGCTATCAAACTGCTATCTCGAATTTTCGAAATTTTGATAATTTTGAAAAATATTTATTTACAATTTAAAAAAATATATATTTTTTTGATTTTTTTTCAAAAAGTTTCTAACTTTTTGCAAAAACCGGAATATATGTGATAGAACACACACTGATGAACTACCTTTGCAAGTTTTAGCCCAATGTCTTCAAAAATAGCCATGTTATTCGCATTATTCTCAAAATTTTACAATTTTATGTTTTTCAAATCCATTTTTCAGTACGTTTTTGATGTCGTACAGCAATATAAATGGCACCATCGTGTTCCTGAGCTCATACTGCATCTGAAAGGTACCTTTTTTGTTGAAAAATTTCATTTTCAAAATTTGACCTTTTCTGACCTGAAAGTGACCTGACCTCCGGTAAATTCAGCTGACAATGACCTCAAATGACACAGACGACACTATTTCCGAAATCTACGAGTAAAATGGGCCATAAAACATGCGTCACGTGACCGATACATGATATACAAATTTTCGTGACCTAGGATGACATGGCCTTGACCTTAAAAATTCAAAGTAAAAGTTCGGTACCCTCAGGGTATCTAAGGCATCCGTCAAGGAGTGCGTAAACCAAAAACGAGCCTGATCGGACCGGCGGTCCGGCGGTCAGAGCCTAAATTGTGAACTAGCAAAAATGTCGATAATTTTTACTTTGACCTGACCTGTGACGTCATCGGTGACCTCGAGGTCAATGAAAATAGGTTTCGCTCGACAGTTTTTCCAGGGCTATCAGACGCCGTTTGAATTTTCACGATCGGCCCAGTAGTTTCGGAGATAGGAGGGGGGGCTCTGGAGAGCCCCCCCCCCCCGTCACTCGCGTTATGGAAAATACCCCAGTCATGCGCGGGTTAACCCGCGCCCCGCTGCACGGTAGGCGATCGGGCCGGTCTAGCCTCGCGAAACCTCAGACACTTTTTTTCCGAAAATTGGAAAACAACGCATACAAGTCGACAGAAAATTCATCAAAGATTACGATTAGTGCATTTGCATGGCTCAGGAGACATTTTTTCGTAGACCAAAGTATCGTTAAAGACAGCGTTCCGTAACACTTCATAAGGGGGATAATCACAGCCGATTTTTACGCTCTTTGAATATTTTGCGGAACGATGAAATTGCTAGGTGTTGAGCATCCATTTTGCATGGACAGTGAAATTTAGATGTTTAGACGATTCCGCCATAGAAAGCAAGTAGACAAAATCAGTTCAAAATGTCTTATAATTAGGTTAAATTTTTATATTTTTTTCTACCACTGAGCATTACGTTCACTAAATTAACCAAGCCCAGCAAAAAAAGTTTTACGTGGATGAACTGAAAATAATGCTGTATCGCATGCACTAAGACACTATCTATTAGGGGAGCCAGTGAAAATTTGCAGCCACTTGCAGCCGTGGCATCCAGACACTTTCTTCTTCTAAGGGTTGGCCGTGGCTTGGTGCACTTGAGCACAAGTGGTAAATGCCCCAAAGGGTGTTTTCGCGATAGCTCAAAACACCCAGGCAATAGAGAGCTGCAACCTGGCATACCTGACCTTTGATGCACGCTAGATCTTGTGACACCAATCGCACTTTCAAGTCAGGTCAGGTCACTGACCTATGACGTCATACATGAAGCTCTGCACGACCCTCAGATGTCGCAACCTTGCAACGCTCTCAGTGCCAGAGTAACTTTCACAGGGAGGTGAGACTTGCAGGACTTATTGTCCTTCAGAGGTCTTACAACTTGTATATCTCAGACTTTTCCTAATAATATTTCCTAATAATGTCAAATAAAGTCAGGTTGGTCACGTGACCTCACCTATAAGTCAATGGGGAAATATGAAAAATGTTATTTTGGCGCCAGGAATGATATTCAATTGTCTCAAGTACATGGAATCGTTACTTCATGCACTCCTTGCAAGATCTGATGCTGCATTTTTGCATTGTTGACCTTGCATGACGTCATTTATGACGTCACTAGGGTCATACGAGTTTTTCGTCAATAACTCCCGATCACATTGAGCTAGAGAGTCGACAATGTCACCAATGGACTCCGGAAGGCCTGCCGAATCGAATGATATGCGATATGACCTCCTTCGACCAACTTCGTGATTTGAAGACCTCTGACCTGACCTTGACTCGAGGTCAAGGTCAGGTTGACCTTACGGTGGCCTCACCTAAACAAAAGTATACTATTCGACGCGCCTGAGCAAGGCGAACACGACGATGTCAAAATCGTGGTTCTGCGGCCATTTTTTGCGAAGTTATTTGCCAAAAACCAAACCCGCTGCTTGGGTCACGTTATGAAATGGGGCCTTGCCGGGCGAGATTTACGCTGTTTCATGATATGTATAAATAGGTAGGGCATAGTCGTTTGAATAAAAAATTGGTTTGGAAGCAATTTCCTACGGAGGTACACACCATTTCAATGTCCTACCCAGCTCATACCGTCATAAATTTCGACCAACCCTCAAAAGTATTCATGCGTTATTCGAGCAGCAATTAGGCAAATTGCAAGCTCGCCACAGAGCACAAATCCTATAAGAGATAGTCCTTATTTAAAACATATGCTCATTGGATATTCAAGAAGGTTGCTCCTAAATATTGTGGTTCTAGCTTCAAAAACATGGATGTTATGAATGCCGATAGGTTTCGCGAGGCTACACCGGCCGGATCGCCCACTGTGCGCTGGGGGGCAGAATCTGCCCCCCTCAAGTTTTTCGACAATAACTTCTAAACGCGTTACGCCAGCGACGTCAAACTTTCAGTACCTTATCATACATCAAATTGACACGTTCCCTTAAAATTTGAGCGAAATCCGTCGGAAAATTTTTGAGGAATTGACGTTTTAGTGACGTCATGTTCGCCATTTTCGCCTCAAAAACGGCAAAATTTCAAACGCCGCTAACATCTTCATTTTTAAAGGAATCAAGACGTAACAAAAAAGATGATACGTGATTCCACTTTGTCTATCAAATGGCTATCTCGGTATTTTGAAAATTTTGGATTTTAGCCCAAAATTTTGCAAAAAACCGACCTTTTTGGAAAAATAGTTATCAAATCCAAAATTTTAAGTGTATCGAAAAAAAACGGAATATATGTCAGAGAAGTGGTCAATGTGCACCTACATACCAATTTTTAGAAGAATCGGTTCAAAAATGTGGCAGTTATTCAAAATTTAATGACGTCACGACACGCATTTTTTTAATGATTTTTTTTTTGGAAGTTCTAGACCTCGTACGGAAACAAAAATAGCACCATTCGATTCGTCTTGAAAAACTGCATCAGATAGACACCTTTTTAGGCCTTAACAACCAACTTCAAAATTTGACCTCACTTGACCTGACCTTGACCTGGCCTCGACCTGAAATTCATCCAGAGGTGGTCCATATCACTTATTGAGTGTGCCTATTGAATTCTATGAGTAAAATGACCCATAAAACATGTGTCGCACATGCCCTTTTCTATATTTTGTTTTTGTTGACCTGACCTTGACCTTGACCTTTGAATGACATTGTATGCAACGAATATTGTCTTGTTAGTCTAAGAACACGTTTTGGGCAATCAGTCGCAGTCCATTCTTCGGCAACTACGATGCAAGGCCGATACTGTAGAAACTTGCATTTTGTACCCTTGACCTGACCATGACCTGACCTCTGACCTACTTAAGCAAAAAAAAAATTGGCTCTTAACCCTATTAGTGGCAGGCTCCTGGCTACCCCATATTAGTGGCAGGGGGGGCTGTTTACGACCCCCCCTTGATATCTCGAGATCTAACGGGCCGATTTTCAAAATTCAAACGGCATTCGATTTCTCTCAACGAGATCTACATTTCTAAAAAAAAAATGTCAATAGGGGGGTAGAGGGGGGTAAAAACGGGCAAATTGCAGATACATTTTAGACTGTTTATCACGGCCAGGTTTCTGAACCAATCTTAACGCAACTTTTGCCGATCGATGGAGAATGAACCAGGAATTCACATGGATCCTAAAAATATGCATTTTCAAAAATCATAGGCGGATACAGATCATTGAGATTGGGGGTACACAAAAAGTATAGTAAATAAGGTTTTTGTTGGTACTGTTTCTAAAAAGGGTGGCAATGGTCTTGTTATGTTACAATTTTCTCATGAGAGAACGACTAAAATTGTATTGGTCATGCATAGGCGGTGTCAGGGCACCTATGTTGGGGAGTAAAAAATAACCCCCCTTTTTGGACGCCTGGATCCGCCTATTATAGCAAAAACGTGTCAAAAGAGGATGCACAATAACTTTGTATATGTTATCACATGATACCTTTCATTCACTGTTCGTAAAACTGGTGCAGCATCGTGATCTTCGCCCAAATGACTCGCTTCACGAATAGGACCCCCCAATTCCCAGTGCTCTGGAGCCGCCCCTGGTAAAGTTATGAACTTGAAATTTTCAGGGAATGTGCCCAATTTAGTTTTAGGAAAAGTCACAAAATTTCAGCATCGTAGCTTCAGCGGTTTCGGAGATATTCCCGAAAAACCTGAGGGGTGGATAAAAACAATCCCCCCCTGCCACTAATAGGGTTAAGATTCGCCTTTTTGAGAGCTTTCGATTGCCGTTTTCCCCGCCTTTCTACGAGCATCGGTTCGGAAGTTAGACAGGGGGCAGAATCTGCCCCCCCCCCCCTCCCCCAGCAGGACGCGTATGGCTGAATAGCCCAGCGGGGCGCGGGTTAACTTCAGTGACATATCCCATCTTAAAAAGTAATAAAATGTTCTTTACCTTTATTACTTTATTTATTACTTTTATTATTATTATATTTTTATTTCTTTTTATACTTCACACTTGTAGGGGCGTCGGATGGATCCTTCTCGGCTTTTCGCAAATAGTTCGCAGAAAAAGCGGCTGCGACAAAACTTCCAGTACTTTCGAGTTCATTAGTTTTACACAAGCCCTCAAAATTTCATGAAACTGGCCTAGGTGACCTTTGACCTGTGACCGGTTTCTTGAGACGTCAGGCCGGAATTGCGGTTCGGCGCATGTCGGCGCACCTTATTCATGTACTTCCAGACTACTTGTGATTAGAAACGTGCCGGCATGTGAAATGTTGGTTGCCTCACGCATTATGGTGGGTCTCAAGGTTACTTGGCAGTCATATAAAGATTATTAACCTTTGCTTACCTCGGGTTTGGTAGTTTTGGTGCCTAAACAATATGTTGTGAAGTTGTCAGTGGTGGTGGTTTGCAACTATCATAACCAGCGGACACCTTCTGGTCGCCCTGACCCGACCTACTTCAAAAGAATGAATACATGTCATCTTTAACCCGCGCCCCGCTGGGGCTTTGGATTTTCACGCCTTGCTGGGGGAGGTGTCTGAACAGCGAACACCCCTTTCCCCATTGTAACTCAGCTCCTGGGCCACGTAGCGACACCCGGTGGGCGGCATTCAAAAGACCGTCAAGAATAATGAAGTAGTTACTTCGGTCACTTTTTGGATCCAGTCAAAGGCCAGGCCACCATAGGTCATCAAAGATCATTTCGCCAATTTTCGGGTCGAGTTTTGACAATTTTCGACAAACCGGCGCATAACTCGGAAACGAATAGAGCTATAACGCCCCGGAAAGCATATTTGATAACCCCTCTTTCTGAAAATTATCCCAAGATTTGACCTAGGTCAAAGGTTTAGCCTGCAGGGGGCAAAAACGGCCAAAGTAGGCGATTTTGCAACGGTTCTCTGCAATAACGTTTTACTCAAAACTTGCACGAACTTACCTTTACCGGCATCGTGTTCCTCTCGTCGATACACGTTGAATGAGCTATACTTTGACCGGTCAATTTGAAAAGTTGACCTCAGGTTAACCCTCGTCGGCACGGCACCCTCGTTGATGCACCCCCCCCCCCCCTAAGGTTTTTCGCGAATAACTCGCGTATAAAGCGGCTGATTGCGACAAAAATTGCAGTACCCTCGCATTGAACACTTTGCACCTACCATTAAAATTGCATGACCCTGACCCAAATGACCTTTGACCTGTGACCTACTTTCCGAGACCATGTTTGGCCGGAATCGCGATTCGGCGTATGTTGGCTCGCATTAGCCGCGCGTTTGCAGGCTTCGTGGTTTCAAACGTTCAAACATGTGATTTGATGTTGCTCACATGCATTAGGGTGGATGCCACGATCACCTGAGGGTCAGGTCAGGTCATTGACCTTTGGTGACCTCGGTCCACTTTTTCGAGTTTCACATGTTTCTAAGCTAGTTTTTGGAGCTGAATTCGAATTTATCAACCATTTGAACATTTATGAAGAAGTTTTGGTACCTTCGTAACATGTTACGAAGCTGTCAGAGGCGGATGACCCGTACTACGAATACCCGTCACGACCCCTACTGATTGACCTGACCTGACCCGACCTGGTCTAAATGCTTAAAGACATCATCTGTGATCAAAACTAACGCGACATTCGTGATCAGCACCCCAAAAAAGAACCATAGCAGCTACACTTTACGACTTTCTAACAGGTCCCAATTTTCCCGACTTTTGGGTCATTGACCTTGTGATGGTTTGAGTGTCACTGGGCCGGCTTGATTGTAGGCCCCTGACTGCGGTCTATGACCCGGGGCGCTGGGTCAGCTGAGTGGCGGTGTGAGAGTGCCGACCGCCGGGCCGGAGCGGCGGCCGGCAGTCTGGAGTTGGACCGGTGCCAATAAAGGTCCGTGCTGAGCCTGGATGTTACAATTGGCGACGAGGTGAATATCGTGCTATGGAAGATGGCTGAAGGCTTCAGTTTAGCCCCATTTGATTTACGCGAAGATGTGTGGGAAGAGTGGTTCGAGAGATTTGAGTTTTACTTGGATGCAAGAAATGTGACTGACAGTGGCAAGAAGAAGTCCTACCTGCTTTCACAATGCGGTAAGGATACCTATTCTGTGTTACGGAGTTTGGTGTCGCCAGGCAAAGTCGGTGACAAATCGTACACAGAAATTGTGACTTTGCTCAATGGTCACTTGAAACCTCGAACGTCTGTGACTGTGGCTCGATTCAAATTTAACACGTGCTGTAGAAAGGAGGGCCAGTCAGTAGCAGAGTATGTTGCTGAGCTGAGGAAGCTGACTGAGCACTGTTCTTTTGGAGAGACCCTGAATGAGATGTTGAGAGATCGTTTGGTATGTGGAGTGAATGATGCTCAGATGCAAAGGAAGTTGTTGTCGGAAGAGACACTGACATTTTCTCAGGCTAACCGGATTTGTCTGTCACTAGAAGCGGCTTCCAGGGACGCCAGGATCATCGGAGGACAGGAGAGCACCGTCAACGAGATCTCTGTGCCGGGTCGGGACGTGACGCCGGGTGGGATCAATGAAGTGCACGCCGGCCAACGCAGTCGCGGTAAGCCATGCCACCGCTGTGGCCGTTCTCATCCGGCCCAAACATGTCGCTACGCCAGCTTCAAATGTTTCAATTGTGGAAAAATTGGACATTTAGCACGCCGTTGTGTAGTCCCCAGAGGGAGCGGAGAACAGTCTCAAACCCGACGAGTGGGCTCCCAGACAACCAGGCTGGTGGAAAGGGACCCGCCCAGACAACCAGGCTGGTGGAAAGGGACCCGCCCATTTCTGACACGAGTCTGATTCTGATTCAGATAGGATTCATACGGTAGTCAACGCCGTTCAAAATGCGTCTCAGCCGGTCATTGTTGATGTTGATGTCGAGGGCACAGTCATACAAATGGAGGTTGACACGGGCTCGGCTGTCTCGCTTTTGAATGTGAAGACGTTTCAGGAGATACATCCGACTCCTGAGTTGAAGAAGCCAAAGTCTGTCCTCAGAACCTACACTGGAGCCAAGATTCCGGTCGTGGGTGAGTTCATCGCGGACGTGAAGTACAACAACCAGGCGAGATGGCTTCCACTGGTGGTGGTTGGAGGAGATGGACCAAACCTCCTCGGGCGCGACTGGCTTGGGAACCTGAAGCTGGACTGGTTCAACATCTTCTCGGTGAGTGGAAGTGATGCTGTCACGGCTCTGAAAGAGAAATACGCTGAAGTGTTCAGGCCAGGCCTGGGTGAGCTCAAGGGGGTGAAAGTTAAACTAGACATTGACAGTAGTGTGGCTCCCAAGTTTTACAAACCGAGGCCGCTACCTTTTGCATTGAAGAAAAGGGTCGATGAGCAGCTAAAGCGAGAGATTGACATGGGTGTGCTTGAACCAGTTGGACATGCAGCTTGGGGTGCTCCGATTGTACCGGTTTTAAAGTCAGACGGCAGTGTCAGAATCTGTGGGAATTTCAAGCTGACAGCGAATCGTGCCGTTCGTGTTGACAAATACCCACTTCCAAGGATAGAGGATCTCTTTGCCTCACTGGCGGGAGGCAAAGTCTTCACCAAACTCGATCTGAGCCAGGCCTACCAGCAGTGCGTGGTGGATGAAGACTGCAGAGATATCCTGACGATTAACACTCACCTTGGACCTCTCAGGTATCGACGCCTGGGCTTCGGTGTCAACTCGGCGGTGGCGTTGTTTCAGCGAGAGATGGAGAAGTTGTTGAATGGTATGCCTGGTGTCTGTGTTTTCCTAGATGATGTGCTCATAACTGGGAAATCCCAGAACGACTGCTTACAGCGCACATCTGCGGTGTTGGAGAAGCTGCAAGATGCCGGACTCCGTGTGTCGGAGAAGAAGTGCAAATTCTGCGTCGACAGCGTGGAGTACCTGGGACACAGGATCGACGCTGAGGGCTGTCACCCCACAGAGGCGAAGGTGAGAGCCATCCACTCTGCGCCAAGTCCCAAAAACGTGTCAGAGCTGAAAAGTTTCTTGGGCATTCTGAATTACTATGCTCGTTTTCTACCAAACCGATCTGAGGTACTGTCACCATTGCATGAGCTTTTGAAAAAGGATGTTTTGTGGGCCTGGGGACCAAAGCAGCAGAGTGCTTTCAATGAGGCAAAAACGTTGATAACGTCGGAACGAGTGCTGGCGCATTTTGATCCAACCGTTCCTCTTGTGCTCACTTGTGACGCATCCTCTGTTGGCATTGGCTCAGTGCTCTCACACAGATACAGAGATGGGTCCGAGAAGCCAGTGGGGTTTGTTTCACGATCGCTATCCAAAGCTGAGCAGAAAATGAGCCAAATTGAGAGGGAGGCGTTGGCCTTGGTGTTTGGCGTCACGAAGTTTCACCAGTATTTGTTTGGAAATGACAAATTCATTTTGGTGACTGACCACAAGCCACTGGTCAAACTGTTCGGTGAGCATGAAGGGATTCCGGCGACAGCATCCGCAAGGATTTCGAGATGGGCGCTACGGTTATCCGCGTACAATTACACGATTCAGTACAGATCAACGACGCAGATAGGACATGCCGATGGTCTCAGCAGATTACCGCTTCCCGTCTCGAAGGAGCGTGACCATGAGGTGTCTGAGATGGTGTGTTTGTTGCAGAGCTTGGAGGAGGAGTTTGCATTGGACTCCTCCCGGATTGCTGCGCTGACGTCTCGGGACACTCTGCTGAGTCGGGTGCGGCAGGCCATAGAGACTGGTGAGTGGCCTGACGAGGAGGACATCCGCTCATTCTTCCACAGGAGAGATGAGCTGTCGGTGATCCGCGGAGTGCTGCTGTGGGGCAGCCGCGTGGTCGTGCCTGCCAAGGCACAGAAGCACGTTTTACACGAGCTACATGAAGGACACCCTGGGGTGAGTCGGATGAAAGCTGTGGCGAGAACATGTGTGTGGTGGACTCATATAGATGGAGACATCGAGCGATTCGTGCGCTCTTGCGATGGGTGCCAACAAACCAGGCCCCATCCTGTAAGAAACGAGCTACATCAGTGGAATTGGCCGAGAAAAATTTGGTCGCGAATTCATGTCGATTACGGCGGGCCTGTGAATGGGAAGTATGTACTGGTGGTCGTTGATGCAACATCGAAATGGGTGGAGGTTGTGTTGACGACTTCTACGTCCAGCGCTGTTACCGTGGATGCTCTTCGTTTGCTGTGCTGCAGGTTCGGCCTCCCGGACACCATCGTCTCGGACAACGGTCCGGCCTTCATCGGGGAGGAGTTCCAGCGGTTCACGAGGAGGAACGGCATCCGTCATGTGAGGACGGCTCCTCACAGGCCGGCAAGTAACGGGTTGGCGGAAAGGTACGTCAAGGAAGTAAAGTATGCGCTTCAAAGATCTACTTCCGGAACCATGTCCGTCAAACTTGCTAAATGGCTGATCAGCTGCCATTCAACACCCAATGCAACAACGGGGGTAACGCCTGCTTCAATGATGTTCGGTCGAGAGTTAAAGACGAGACTGCAACTTCTCAAACCGGACTTGGAACGGACTGTAGAGCAGCAGAAGGATAGACAGAAAGAGTACTATGATATGCGTACTAAAGGCCGTCAATTTCAGGTGTCCGACAGAGTCTACGCCAGAGGCTTCGGGAGCGGACCGGTTTGGTCGCCCGGAGTGGTCGTCTCTCTCCTCGGTGCAACGATGGCGGAGGTCCGGCTGGACGATGGTCGACTGTGGCGCCGTCACTTCGATCAGCTGCGGTCTGCGGGCGACTCTGCTCCGAAGAATCGCACGGAGACGGACGTCTGCGACTTCGGACGGCTGCGGGAGAGGCGGGACCTGGCGGGTGGCGAGCCGGACGAGAGTTGGCTGGAGGACGATCAGCAGGAGGATCCCGTGGTGATCTCGGACCGGAGACCGGCGGCTGACGCCGGCCAGCCTGAGCAGAGCTCGGAGAGTCCCGGAGTACAGTCGTCTCCGGCTGCTCGTCCCCCCTCTGGTGCGTGCGTGTGTGCGGGTGATCAGACTTCGAGTGCGCGCGCGTGTACAGGTGATCAGAGTCAGACTTTGAGCGAAGGGACTGCCACGGGCGTGACTCGGGATTCTTTGGTGTCCCGAGGGCTGTCGGGCTCACTAGAGAGAGCGGAAGGTGTTCCGTCGGTCACACTGCGTCGATCACAGCGGGAACGACGCAAGCCGGACTACTACAGACCCGGTGCTGGGTAGATATGTGTTAATGAACACTTGAGACTTCTGTGTAGCTGTTGTGTTCTTTTCGTTTCTGAGCCAGGAATGGCGTTTGTTGTTTGTTTGTTGTTGTTGTTTTTTTTTGGAGGGAGGTAATGTGATGGTTTGAGTGTCACTGGGCCGGCTTGATTGTAGGCCCCTGACTGCGGTCTATGACCCGGGGCGCTGGGTCAGCTGAGTGGCGGTGTGAGAGTGCCGACCGCCGGGCCGGAGCGGCGGCCGGCAGTCTGGAGTTGGACCGGTGCCAATAAAGGTCCGTGCTGAGCCTGGATGTTACAGACCTAACCTGGACCTTGAAATTGGGTATCATCTGCTTCCTCCGGGCAACACGCTCGCTTTTCCGCGAAACTCTAGCTCGATCAAGGGCCAAACGCGAGGGGGGTCACCAACCATCCCCTTGTGCCGTCGAAGGACGAAATATGGCCTGTGCTGGCGAGGGTTAAGGTCATGACCTGACCGGAAAAGGTCGTGTTGCATATCAGTCGATCCATATCGTCGAGCTGAGTACGGCTAAGATGTTTTCATCGCTCTAGCATGCCTCTATCAAAAGCTATTAGCGAAAAATTGTGCATACTTTTCTTGACCTAAGATGACCTAAGGGACGTGGGCGTGGCGAAGGTCTAGTGAGGTCACTGGCCTCTTGTGACAAGAGCCTTTGTCTCGGTAACTCCCCCACCATCCAACACTGGGAAACTCGAGGCCATATGGCCGGGGATGCGGATACTATGCACAATAAGCACAGTTTCACCACGTGTTATTTTCCATTGCACCGTAATGTGGCACAGGGACCTTTGCTCCTTGGCCTTGAGGCGACACCTCTGGCTAGACTTGTACCAAAAAAGATGCGTCCCTGTTTCGTTTTCCTCGAAGTTTTCCTTCCATGTCGCCAAGCTGAGGATGTAGGTAATGTCCCCCCACCGCTATTAGACGCAAAATGCTCATAAATGGTCTTGATACGGCTTAAATACCGGCGCTTAATTATCAATAATGAAGTGAAATTGTGCTCCCACAGCACCAAACCAAGAGACATGGGATCTTAGCTTCCGCTAAGTCGGGACTGTTTCACCAACCAAAAAAACGTACTCATAATCGAAAGCAGAGAGCAAAGACGCTGAGGTATGTGATTTTCTCATGTATAACGGATCGTGACCAGATCACCTTGAAAGCTACTAGTTCGTAAGCCGGGTACCCTTTGAACAGCTGTGGTTCGCGAGGTAGAAACGGCTCAAAAAGAGCGCCCTGGTGGCACGTCCATTGTCGGTTTTATAGCCGCCATTCAAAGGCCTGTCCTGGCCATCAGGTGGGAACTCAGTACCGTTACTTCTAGTTGTGAAAAATACCGGTTCACTATGACCTCCGCCACGCGACAACAGACTTTGAAATGAACGCAAGTTGCTATAGCAACTGGCGTTCTGTTGGCGGCGGCCATGCATTACGGTGTTGGTTATTTAAACGGTAGTGTTTCGCTCAAGTTTCATTGGCGCAGTTTCATTGGATTACGCAGGCGCAATAGATCAAACCTCAAACCTTATTGCAATAGCGCACTGCTTTGATAAAATAAAAATACTATAAATTTGTTATATAATTAGCAGTGTCAAATGCCAAGTGGGTGTGGGTACACTTAACTTGGCTCCCACGGTCCAAATAACAAAGCCAAGGGGAAAACAGAGAGTGCCACTCCAAAGGCAGACACGGCTACGAAAAACGTTTCAGACTTAGTTCTCATGTATTCAGTATCACAAGGAAACATAAGTAAAAACGGCGGAAACCGTGCCATCGTTAGCACGCATTCGTCATCCGGGATATAGCTTATGCATACAGTTAAAACGAATGTAATGAATGTACAATGCACATGCGTAACAGGGTTAAAGGTCCAAGGAAACGCCAGCCGCCCTGCAAAGTGCGTAGTTCGTAGTTACACGCCAGCATATATCTATGTCGCTTTAAGCGATTCTTTTGCACCGACTGGACCTGCCATTTTTATTTTCCTTTTTAAAACATGGGGCGAATTCGTGGCGCGCTGTGGTGGTTCATCTACGAACACATAAGCCGATCCTTCCACAAGGGAACATTCAAATAAAAAACGAACAGAAATTGAACGGCAAATCTTTCGCAAGTGGGATTTGCGAAAGATTTATTTATTAAAGATTTATGTAAATACGTTCGCTAAAGAACATATTTAGTGCTAAAGTGGCTTATCGTGCATTGTGTGTGGCTTACCACTCGTGTGTGAAAAAGCTGGTTGGTGTTCCTAAATCCCATAGAAATCTTCCTCTCTGTTACTCGTTGAATATTCTTACATGTCCAATGCTTATAGCTATATTAATAGGAGGATTGTGTTCTATAAAAGACCGCTGTGCAGCAACAATGCCATAATGAAAGCGGTCCTGTCAAGTGAGATTGGCCGTGGAGGTATCCTGATCCAAGACTACCAGTGTCTACTCTGGCAGTATGGTCTCATGGGCCTCGATATCAGTTCTGTGAGTCGCTCTGATCCTGTAAATGTGTTTGCGTCACAGTTAAAGCGCATTGTTGAGCGCTGACGTCCAAAGTATGGGACTGTTGTAGTGTGGTGTATGTTCCGTGCGTGCTCACATATGTTTCAAGGATGGAGCGAAATAAAGGGCATTATTATTGATTATTAGGATTATTTACATCCAACGGATCAATCTTGTTAAATCCATAAGAGAGCATAAGTAACCTAGGGACATGAGTTGCTAAATGCAAATTAACTAGCATTAATAAAATGAAAGTCACAGCCAGAAGTTCATGTTGATCAGATCCGTGAAAAGAAATATACTTGGATATCCAATTAATCGATTTCAATGTTATCTCTGAATTTATGTTGTGCAGCTTAGAAAATCTCGGCTGAAGCTTCATTGTTCCGACTACAAGCTCACCACTATGCCTATAATAGCACTTTATTTATCGCGAAATACAAATGGCTCATACTCGGTATTTGTTGTAGGTATTTCTGCTGAAACCACGCCTTCATATGGCACAGCTGCCATACGTGACAGCTGGTCCCGGTGCGTGCGCAAATGTGCGTGTAGGACGGTGATAGTTCCGGCTTCTTTTGTAGTTTTGTAGCACAAGTTACAGTACATACGTTCTTACAAAGAGTACCGTTATCAATCAACGGTCGGCTGGTCACACCAGCACACAGCGCACATGGACACACACAGACACACGGAACGGTACTTTATTCTCCCGAACAATGCCCGTTGCTTTGGTGCCATGTGCGAGACGTCCAAGATGTGGTTTTCCTTTAACAGAATGGATTACGGATAGGCCGTAAAGCATAGCGCTGGCCTGTGTTGCATAATGGCGAAGCGTCCTTTGATGTCAACAATTTAATGTTGTGATCGTTTTATTTGTAGACATGCCTTTTTGTAGTCCGCCTAACGTCTATCTTCCGTTATTTATCTTATCTTCTATTCATCCCCATATTTAACGCACCCATTTGTAGTGTGTGACATGTCAATGTTTCTAAAGGAAACAAATTTTGCATCTCACTTCTTTTGTCACGACACATTAAAATGGCGGTGAGCAGCATCGCTGTTCAACATAGATAGTAAATACGCCATTAACCTTTGACGCCTTTCAAAGAGTTTCACAGACATAAATGCTATATACATACAGAGTACCCACACAGTCACATGTTGGTTGTTGAACTTACTCAAAGAGTAAAATATTTATCGTACAGCCAGTTAACCAAATATGATTGGCCATGATGTTATGTTTTGCCCAGACTATCATGTTGGCATAGCCTGTAACAATGCTGAATAATGTGGACTCAGTAATCTAGCCCATGCGTCGTCCAGAATATTGCATACGAGCGTGGATATACCGCAAAATGCGGTACATCCACGCTGGGGAAATCCATGAGTTCAATGGATTTCGTGCAAACCACAAGTAGGGTCACGTGCGGTGCATTTTTACATGGCTTCTTCGGCGATATCTACACATTAGCTGTCGTCGAGGCTCGGGCATGCAGTCCAACGGGAAGTTCACGCTACAAGACTGTGTATTCGATGAGCAGGTAAGACTGTGCCTAATAATGTTAACATCTTTGTTATCAGCTTCCAATTTTTATAATAAAATGGCAATTCTAATTTGTTTTTCATCCCATTACATTTGTGTGAAACGGGTGAAGGTTAAATGCACGCAAACATGAGTGCTCTACTTTCATGAAATCGTGACCGTAACCCATGCCACATCGTTTCAATGTTGTTTTCCTTCGTAAACAAAAAGTCATGTCTCGGAACACTATTGGGCGAGTCAGGAAGCCCAGCCTTTGACTGTTTGTGTCGTCCGTGGGAACCGTATTCGTTAGACATGGCTGCATTGTTCATGTCGCCATATTCCTGGTCGTTTTTACTTAGCGAGGCAATTACATTTTATTTGGCGTCTCGGCAATCATCTATTGTTGAACAGTCGCAGAAACGTTGCCATAAAAGTCCGTGAGAGATGGCTATCGTTTGAACCCGGTTTCCGGCAGCGAGTTCCAATACATTTTCCGCTTTACATATAAAATGGCCACAGAGCTGGGCACGTCTTTACTGCGGTGCAGTTTCAGATACGGGATCCCAGCACCTCAATGTGGAGGAAAGGCGGGACGAGTATGCTTTAGGCTTTCGTTCGCTGAATTACCTGAATTACATATATCGCTGTTCATCAAAAGGTATATACTATCGGTACATAGTCCCCACAGAATGAGCACTTAACGATATTGGCGACTCAAAGGAGATGCGAAAACCAACTGAAATTATGATCTTTCAACGGCAAAGTTGACTTAGGAAAGGAGGATATTAACCTTTGGATATTAACAAAAGGATATTAACTGTATATGCAATCCACCGCTTTTTACTTTTCTTGGCATCGGAACATTGCTAAGTCAAAGGACAGTCTGTATCAATGTATCCGGG